ATCAGAGCCAAACAAGTGTAAGGCCTTTTTCGCGTCTTTTATACAAGATAGACCACAGTGATCTCCTTAAATCAATCTCCACCCCTCTCTCACCATTCTCTCCCAGTTTTAAAAGAAGTAAAAAAAAAGAAAAAAAAAATCACTGTGTGTGTGTGTGTGTGTGTGTGTGTGTGTGTGTGTGTGTGTGTGCGTGCTCTCGTGTGTGCGTGTGTGTGTGCGTGTGTGTGCGTGCTTTCGTGTGTGTGTGTGTGTGTGCGTGTGTGCGTGCTTTCGTGAGTGTGCGCAAATCCCCGTTCATGCTACTCACACACGTGGTTCGTCTCAATTGCACCATCACCGCCACGCCTGACATACCACCATTGCCGTTTCAACACCCCCACCATCACTACTCTGCACATGTGTGTGTGTGTGTGTGTGTGTGCGTCTGCAGCCTTGCAAACCTGCGCACGCTGCTGTTGTCCGGAAACCCGTTGGCGAACACGGCCGGGGCGCTGCGGGCGGTGTCGGCGCTGGAGCATCTCGTACGCATCGTCCTCCGGGGCACAGCTCGCCGCGCCGCTACCCTGGTCTGATGGCGGAGAGGAGGAGAGGATGATTGTGTGTGTGTGTGTGTGTGTGTGTATGTGTGTGTGTGTGTGTGTGTGTGTGTGTGTGTGTGTGTGTGTGTGTGTGTGTGTGTGTGTGTGTGTGTGTGTGTGTGTGGGCGTGTGTGCTTTCTGTTTGCGATAACCATGTTCTCTCACCTCGCTTCACACCACCCTTCTCGCATAATATACAACCGCCACCGCTGCCACTGCCAATGCCCCTCAGCCACCGGAGCTTGCGGAGTGCATCTGCTTGGAGGAGATTGATTTGGCCGAGAACGAATTTGCAGAATTTCCTGAGGTGCTCACGCTCCTTCCAAACCTTCGCGAAGTGAATCTTAGTGACAACCAGATTGTGCGCATTCCAGGCTCCATCAAGGACCTGCAGTCACTGCGCATTCTAAACGTCTCTCGCAACGCACTCCGAGACCTGAAGGTGTGGCTCCTGTTGTGTTTGATCGTGCGTGTTATGCGAACAGGCACCCTTGAATATACCCATGCATGCGTGTGCGTGTGCGTGTGCGTGTGCGTGTGCGTGTGCGTGTGCGTGTGCGTGTGCGTGTGCGTGTGCGTGCGTGCGTGCGCGTGTATGTGTATTTGTGTGTCCATTCTTCTTGCACCTCTCCTGTTGTCAGTGTTGACAGCCCCCCCCCCACAACAGTGATTGCACGCCCTTTGCACCTCGCCTCACGTTGTTCGTTGCTATCACAGCCCGTGTGCGGCGTAACATCGCTTGTGCGCGTGTACGCCAACGGCAACAATATTGTGGCCATTCCTGACGAAGTTGAAGCCCTCGCCAACCTGGTCTGACACGTGTCACATGGGTGCTTGCAGCGCAGTGTTTGTCTGCAGGCTGCGCCACACCATATCATGGATAGATGTTCACGCACCTCGTGGTTCACTCACTCACTCACTCACTCACTCACTGCGCACACACTCCCCACCACTATCACCACTATCATTACTATCATCATGGCAGGAGGTGCTGCGTCTTGCCCGCAATCGCATCACAGATGTTCCCCATGCACTGTGCACACTTCAACACCTCAAGGTATACATGTGGAACACGTGCAACAGCGCACATGTGCGTGGTGCTGTTTTGTGTGTAGTTCATGTTCGCCTCTTGCGCCAGCTCTGCTCCCATGCCATCCCGCAACCACGTCGTCTTTACCTCACCACCACGCCATCACACCATCACACCACGTCACGCCATCTTGCGGTCTCCCACCGTTGTTGCCAGGATCTGTGTCTTGACAGCAATGCCATCACGCAACTGCCTGTGGCCCTGCACCATCTGCCTGCGCTCGCTGCCGGCGGTCGCTTCTCGGCCCGCAGCAACCCGGGCAACCCCTCTCTCCCGCCAAAACGCCTTCTCGACATCCCAGGGGCGGCACACGGCACGCGCGCACATGTCAGAAGGCATGGCACTGGCACAGCAGCAGCAGCATCAGCATCAGCATCAGCACACGCAACAGATGCGCCCGCAACTGCTGCCGCAGACACACGTGATGGCGTGCAGATGGCAACAGAGAGCAGAAGCACCAGCGCCACCACAAGGCCCTGCCCACCGCGGTCGCCGTCGTGCTATGGGGTTGACATGGGGCGCGCTGCTGCTGCTGCCCGACGAACGTCGGGGTCAATGGCCATCAAGTCGAGCAGTCACCAGCGCGGACACATCCACGCGCTGGAGGGCCCGGGCCTGAGGGACGAGCGTGGTGGCGATGACAGCGTCACACATGCAGAGGCGCGCGTGCCAACACGCGTCAAGGTGCGGCTGCGGAGAGAGTAAAGATGGGGGGGGGACGAAGGAGAGGGTGTGTGTGCATGTGTGCGTGTGCATGTGTGTGTGTGTGTGTGTGTGCGTGTGCGTATGTGTGTGTGCGCTGGCATTGTCTGAACGATACAGCTTGCTCTGCGTGCGGTCTGCGTTTCTTTGCTCACGCACACACAACACACACAACACACACACACACTTCCGCACGTCCATGGGCCAACCAATCAAAGGTGGATGTGTCTCAGCGCAAGCAGGCAGAGAACATTCTGCGTGGCCTCACCGACACAGACAGCACAAAATACGCAAACGAGACGCCAGAGCTGCTCGATTCGTTTCAAGGTGATGCCGCAGTGTCTTCACACATGTGCTGTGGGCGGCAGGGGTGGGGAGGGTACTGTTATTGTGGCGGTCGTGTTGCTGTGCTGGGCGATGTCGTGTTGCGTGATTGTTGTGCGCTGGGTGGCTTGACAGCGTTGCATAGTGCTCTGTCATGCTGGCTCATGTGTTTTGTTTGTTGCGTGTGCGTTGTGCCCCGATTTCCATCTGTTCATGTCACGCACTTTGCTTGGTTCACCCGCACGTCCTCCTTGCACCTCCTTGCGTGGTGTTGCTACGTTGTCACGTTGTCACGCACATGCGCAGACTCGGCTGCTGCCCAAAGCACGACAGCGACTGACGCGGGCGATGAGCCACAAGAGGTCCAGGAAGGACAGGAAGGGCAGGCCGGCAAAGGGGACCTCAAGTCCAGTGTCGGTGCAAGTCCACGGAAACCGAAAACGTGGAAGAAAATGATCAAGAACCCCAAAGTGGACGGCAAAACGCTCTTTGGAGACGACTTTGACGACTTTCTCGGTCAGGGATGCCGTTTGTGTGTGCGCGTGTTTACGAGGGTGTATTTTGTGTGTGTGTGTGTGTGTGTGTGTGTGTGTGTGGCGTTCGTGGTAGTGGATCTCACGCTTGACCTTCTTGTTGTTGTCGCGGGCGCGCGCGTGCGTGTTGCTACGACCTTCCTGTGGCTTTCCTTTGTGTATGTAGGCACCAAGATTTGGCGCATTGAGGACTTTGCGCCTGCGCTTGTGAACGAGTTGGATCACGGCACATTCTATGAAGCAGACTGCTACATTGTCCTTGATGCAAAGGAAAACGAAGGTGTGAGCGTGCATGTGCATGTGCATGTGCATGTGTGTGTGAGTTGATATCAGCGCGTGTCCTTGCACGTGTATCTGACCTCCTACACACGCGAGTTTAAGTTCATTCGTGTTTGCTTGCGCCAATGGTTGTTGTTTCGCGGCCTCATTCACCATGTTGTGACATCAACCTCACACACACACACATACATACACACTCTCTCGCTCACTCACTCACTCACTCACTCACACACTCACTCACACACGCCACTCACTCACTCACTCACTCACACTCTCTCGTCCGTTGCGCTGGTTATGGTGGTGGTGCTGCTGCAGTGCAAGACATTGTGCACACGGTGTACTTCTGGATCGGGTCCAAGTCATCCCTCGACAAACAAGCGAGCGCCGCCATCAACGCCGTCAATCTGCGCGCATATCTCCACGTCGACGACCTCTGCCAGGTGTGCAGCGATGCCATCACGCGCCGTAGTGCAGTCGCGTGTGCGTGCGTGCGTGTGTGCGTGCGCGCGCGTTTGTCTGTGTTTGTGTGTGTGTGTGTGAATATGCGTGTGCGTTTGTGGTTTTGTGTGCGTGTGTTTCGCACATCGTGACTGATCACAACCATTCTCTTCCAATTCGACACCTGCATCATCACAGCGCGAAGAGCAAGAGGATGAAAGCCGGGAGTTTTTGCTGCTCTTTGGCAACAAGATCAACTACATCGAAGTACGCTGGATCGGTGTTCATGGTGCTGATGATGTTGTTGTTGATGGTGGTGATGATGTTGTTGATGGTGGTGATGGTGATGGTGTTGCTGTTGATGGCGGCGGTGGCTGCGACGTTGCGCCTTGTTGCCAATGACTCGTGTGGCCCATTCACACACACACACACACACACACACACACACACACACACACACACACACACACACACACACACACACACACACAGGGTGGAACGGAGTCTGGGTTCTACACGACCGAAGAAGTGGTGCGGCCAACGCGCATGTATCACTTGAAGGGGAAAGTCTCTCTCACCGCATACGCCGTGCCCACAGAGAAGAAGCAGGTGCGTCTCTATGATGTGTGTGTGTGTGTGCTGAATGCGTGTTGTTTGTGTGTTGTGTTGTGTGTGTGTTTGTTGTGTGTGTGATCTAAACTTCGTGTGTGCTTCGTCGAATGGACACGTCGTGGTGTTGGTTGCCGTTTTCATCTCTCAACCCCTGCAATTGTCATCGCTCACTTACATCCCCCACCTCACTCCTTTCCTGCTTTACACCCCCCTGCTTGCATAGCTGCGCAAAGGCAACGTGTATGTTGTGGACGAGGACGAGATGAAGACCATCTGGCTTTGGGTTGGCAAAGGAACAGGCCTTGTGACACAGCGCAAGGCGTGCTTGTTCTGTGAGAAGGCCACAAAGGGCACGACCATGAAGGTGGTCGTGGTGCAGCAGGGGAGTGAGACTGACGAGTTTCTTGACATCTTTGGTGACGACGACACAACCAAGATTGACCGCGTAGACGCTGATGTTGAGGTGCGACTTACACCGTCACCCCTGATGATGGAATGAATGCACGAGCAGCTGTTGTTGCTGTCTGTGCGGCCGTGTACCACGTGTTTGCTTGTCTGCGGATGACGGCAATTGCCCGCTGCCATGAATGATGCTGCACAATTGCCGCAAGATGCAGCCGCCCCCTCCAACATGTCATCATGCATACCCTTACAACCACGATGCCACCACCATCATGACTGTCACCACATTCGCAGGCGCTTCAGGCCATGATCCCGACCATCAAGCTGCACGAGATGCACATGGGCGACGGCTTCCTTGAGTTGCCGCAGGTTGTGCCTGCAGGCAGAGCCATTTCCCGCGCCATGCTTGCAAGCACGGGCGTTTACATCATCGACCACTGGGCAGACATGTACATCTGGATCGGTCACAGATCAAGGTGAGTTGTGAGAGTTTCGATTGGCGCGTTGGTGTGTGCGTACCTTCGTGCATCGTTGCTTTATGCTCTGTTGCAACTGTAGCGTGAAATCAAACCCACCTACCCTCTTTCACACACACACACACACACACACACACACACACACACACACACACACACACACACACACACACACACACACACACACACACACCATCACCACGTTGGCAGCCGGCTTGTGCGTGCTGCTGCTGCGCGCGTTGCACTGGAGCTGCAGAAAGTGCTGCCGCGACCCGATTTCTTCCTGCTGAGCACCGTGACGGAGGGCACGGAGCCGCAAGTGTTCAAGAGCAAGTTTGAGGGCTGGGATGACGTGTTGAAGATTGACCACCGCGCAAAGGACGTTATCCAAGTGGTGCGTTGACGGTGATGATGGTGACGGTGATGGCGCTCGTGTCGTTGCATCTGCTGCTGCTGCCGTTGGCGAAGACTGCTCAGAAGGATGATGACGATAATTGCTACACACACACACTCACTCACCCACTCACCCACTCACCCACTCACCCACTCACCCACTCACCCACTCACCCACACTCATACACCATGTGCACAGGAGGCGAATGTGCTGCGGCGCGCGCTCAAGTCGACGCTGCCGGCGGACCAGCAGCGAATGCTGAATGTCCTTCCGGAACAGCTCACCGTTTCACCGCTCGCAAAGCTCCTCAACACCTCCCAATTCAACCTCTTTGACGCAACACACGTGCGTGGGTGCAGTGCGTGGGTGTTTGAATTGATACGCGGTTGCTCATGTGCATATGTGCGTGTGTTGTTGTGGACGTGTGCAAAATGATTGCATTTCGTGGTTGGGTCAAGTGGCTTAACAGCACTTTCCTGGTTGCATTTCTGCACTGCCCTTGCTCGCCCCCCCACCCTCTTTATCACCCTCACATACACACATGTGCGCGCGCGTATGTGGGTGTGCGTGGGTGTGCGCGCGGTGTGGTGTCTCGGGTGTCAGGTTGATGTTGGCGATCTGTTCACGCCGCCGCCGCTGCCAATGCCGGAGGAGGATGCACGGGCGTTTGAGAACAACTTCTGGGCGGATCTCGACAACATGGAGGCATTCGTGCTGAAAGGTCGGCGCATGTGTGTGTGTGTGTGTGTTGTGTTGTGTGTTGTGTGTGTATGTGGTCTCGTGTGTGCTTGCAAACTGGTACAATCTGGTCAACGGTAGTGCCATTTCATTTGTAGTGTTGCCCCTTTGCCTGGGAGCACATCACATCACCTCACGTCTCCATCCACCACACACATTATCCTGCAAACTATCAGGCGGGCACTTTAAGGTGCTTGACAAGTCGCGTGTTGGCCACTTCTTCTCGGGCGAATGCTACATCTACCTCTGCTCCCAGTGGCGGCCCGTCCCAGGATCAGCGAGTACGTGCACAGCAGCAGCACCACCACATTTGCGCGTCTACGTGTACGCGTGTGTATGTGCGTGTATGCGCGTGTGCGTGTATGCGTGTGTGCTGTTCCATTATCTCAATCATCACAACCGCGTGCACAGTGCAGTTGAAGTCCTGTGTCTCACTCTACTCTCACACGCACGCACGTACACACACACACACACACACACGCACAACTGTTGTCATCACCATCCCCCGCGTCCGCTGCTTGCTTCTCAGGCGACGAGAAGGAAGGCGGTGATGAGTCATCAGCCAGTGGACGCTCGAAGCAGCGCAGTGGCAGTCGCGGTGGCAGCCGCAGTGAAGACGCTGATGGTGGTGGTGATGGTGGTGATGAAAACGACGATGACGATGATGATGAAGATGATGATGAGTTTGAGGGCGAGGAAGAGCTGCAATGTGTCGCCTACTTCTGGCAAGGACGCGACGTCTCCAAGGTTCATGTGCACACGTGTGTGTGTGTGTGTGTGTGGTTTTGTCATCGCGTGGTTGTGCTGTGTTTCGCCTTTGCTGTGTTTGGAGACCAAACGTGCTGAGTGGCCGCTTGTTTTTTTTCCACGCATATGCGACGATGCATGCGAACGCACACTCACGCACTCACCTGTATGTATGTATTCGTGGCCCAGATGGCGTGGTTGCAGTTCCGGTTTGGCGGCAGCCTGGAGCGCATTGAGGCGCTGGTGCAGAAGAAGTACCGCTGCCAGCTCCGCGTGCAGGTTTGTGCGCTGCACTGGTGGTGGTGTTGCTTGATTCTGCAAACGGCATTGCTCATGCGGTTGTATGGGGTATATCACTGCACAAACACGTTCACGCACGACCAAGCATGCGCCACGCCAACACCTTCTCTCTGACACGAATGTTTGGTCTGCCTCGACGTGTGTGCGTGTGTGTATGTGCGTGCGCGTACGTGTGTCTGAATGTGTACGTGTATCTGTGTGTGCGTCGTTCCCAGCGCGAGTTCCAGCACCGCGAGTCGCTCGACTTCATGGCGCTCTTTGACCGCGGAATGGTCATCCACGAGGTCCGTGTCCAGCCAGCGCAGTGTGTATATGCGCATGCGTGTGCTTGTGTATGCGTGCGTGTGTGTATGTGTGTGTGCGTGTGTGCGTGTGCTTGTGTGAGCGCGTGTGCGTGTTGCATGCATGAACCCATCTGTCTCTATCCATACTATCCACCCCCCCCTCTCTGGTACCGTTGCGGCTCACCTCTTCCAACTTGTGGTGTGTGTGTGTGTATGTGTGTGTGTGTGTGTGTGTGTGCGTGCAGGGTACATATGATCAGGCCCTCGAAGACAAGACGCCGCGGCTGTTCAGGTGTGAAACCCACACGCCCTTCTGCACCATTGCGTCCCTGCTCACAACACCATCCCAGCTTGCATGGCTCTCTGCTCCCACTACCGCCGCCACACGCATCACCGCTCACTTCTCCTGTGCTCTGCTGTCACATGCTGACGCTTGTTGTTTGTGCCTGCTCGCGTATCAGGGTGCACGAGTGGAAGCCGACAGTATTCACCAAAGCCGTCCAGGAGCGGCTGAACACGGGCCTCATCTGCTGCAGAGACTGCTACCTCTTGCAGGTGCGCTTTGCACGCAGGAAGATGTGTATTTGTTTGTGTGTATGTGTATGCGTGTGTGTGTGTGCGTGTATGTGTGCGTGTGCTCATGTCACTACTTTCGTCAGTGTTTGTGACATGCACACACACACACAAACACACACACACACACATACGCCTCAGGTTCCGTTTGAGGGTGCGGACGACCGTGGCATCCTGTATGTGTGGCACGGCGACGAGGCGAGCAAGACGCTGCTCGACGCTGCGCAAGAGCTTGGCCAGCACTCCATCTGGGGGGTACGCTGAGGACTTGGGCGGCGGCTGTTTCTCTGTGGTTGTGAATGTGTGTGTGTGTGTGTGTGTGTGTGTGTGTGTGTCCTGGAACAAGTGATGCTGTGCGTTGAAGCAACTGCTTCATGCTCAACTTGTGTCATTCGGGACCTTGTGTGCTGGTGGTGGTGCATCTGTGCAGGCGCAATTCTCGAAGCAAGTCATTGCACAGGGCCATGAGCCTGAGCACTTCTTCCTCTCTGCCCTCGGTGTATCCAAACTGCCGGAGACGGTGCGTCGTTTGTATGGCACCACGAATGCCCGTACACACTTGTGCGCGTGTGCATGCTTTGTGTGGTTGTGTCATGGTCGTGCTGCTTGTTCGCCGCTTGTCTTACCGTGCATCCACACACACACACACACACACTCTCTCTCTCTCTCTCACTCACTCACTCACATACTCGTAACACAACATTGTCTGATACTGTTGCACGCATTCAACACCATTAACTCCCCCCCCCCCACACACACCCACCACCCATCTTTGACCACTGCGCAGGTGCGGGATGGCCCGCGGATTGACGCCGCGCGGTTCTGGGCGTGCACGAACCGGGACGGCTTCTTCAGGGTCGAGGAGCGTTCGGACTGGTTCTGCCAGGACGATCTCATGGATGAGGATGCAGCAATTGTCGACACGCACGGCACGGTGTACTTGTGGATTGGCCCCTTTGCATCGGACGTGCTGATCAAGCTCGCCACAGCCAGCGTGCAGGTGCATCCCATGTCCTCAGCGTGTGCGTCTCTGTGTGTGTGTGTCTGTCTGTGTTTGTGTGTCTGTCTGTGTTTGTGTGTCTGTCTGTGTTTGTGTTCGTGTGTGTCTGTGTGTGTCTGTGTGTCCGTGTGTGTCTGTATGTGTGTGCGTGTGTGTCTGTGTCTGTGTGTCTGTTTACTTGTTTCTTGTGCATTCCATTGCATGTTCGTGCTGAAAGCGTGTGGGTTCGTACGTGCGAGTGCGTAGTGCCACAGATTCGCATCTTCGCCTGCACTGCAACACGGACTCACGCGCCTGTCTTTCCACCCTCCCTTCCCCCACCACCCCGTCTCCCTATCCGGCCCCCTAATCCTATTGTCACCAACACACAGGAGTATGTGCGACAGTTGCCGCCCCAGCGAAACGCGAGCGTGGAGGACATTCAGACGCTGATCAAGGGTGGCGAGCCGTTTGAGTTTACGTCCATCTTCCACGGGTGGAGCCACCACTTGCAGGGCGCAAAGGTACGGGGTTGCTGTTGGAATGCAGTTGCGTGGGCTTGTGCTCGATCCGTGTCGCTTCCTGTTTCTTGCAGTTTGCGATATGGTGCTCACACAACGACAACATTTTGGCATGTGTGTGTATGTGTGTGTGTATGTGTGTGTATGTGTGTGCGCGCATTTGTTTGCATGTGTGGCGCAGGAGCTTTCCAAGCCCTTGGACTTTCTTGGCCACGTGAAGGACGACCAGTACCAGCGCCAGTTCTACGACAACGGCAAGCAAGGTAGGTGTGTGTGTGTGTGTGTGTGTGTGTGTGTGTGTGTGTGTGTGTGTGTGTGTGTGTGTTCCATTTTGCATTCGTGTCTCCACTCCACCCCACTCAATCCTCCACAAACACATCACCCCCTCCCTCTCCTTTGCCAACCCCACAGGCACGCATCAGCTCATCATGGTGGAGGAAGAAGACGAAGAAGAGGCTTGATTGACACACACCCACCTACACTCCCCTGTCTTTGTTCACGGTGGCCTGCCACAAGCTTTGCTGTACACATTCCACAAACAGTGCATGCATTTGTGTTAATAGACATTCTTCCTCTATGCTGTTAGTTCTTGCCATGTCTTTGATGATGATTTGAATCATGTTGTGCTTGTGTACTTGATTGAAAGACCAGCAAACAACGGCCATGTCGGCATACATAGTGTATTGTGCCACGGAAAAACGTTTCAATACCACACGCGCGCGCTGTCACAAAGCGTTGTTCAATCAACGGTTAAAGAAAGATATAGCGCACGGCAACAAGGGCACGCATGCGCGTTGAATCGAAAGAGGACACACACGAACACACATCAATAACTAAAATTGGGCCACCAACACCATGTGTTGTGTAGCGCAGGAAAAGCATCCACACAGCGCAGTCGAGCGAGCAACAGGTGTGGATTGATTGTGCGTGCAGTGTGTGTGACTATGCATGTGCGTTAACACGGAGGCGTCAGCGATTGAGCAAAAAATTCTCAGTCATGCAGTGGTTCGTTGACCAAAGCTTTCAGTGACTCTAGTCTACAAAGACATCATTCGCCAGCCGTGTTGCACGTACACATCACACACACACATCACAGCACAGAGAAGGGAAGATCGAAACATAGGAAAAGGGTTGCACGCTCACGAGAAGTGCGAGAAGTGAAAGGAAATAAAGCCTCAATCACCATGGGTGTGGTCGAGGTTGAATCATAAGGAGACAAGGGAAAGGAAGAGAGAGGGAAGCGAGTACAAGGGCCCGGGAAGCCGTTGTCTTGTCAGCACAGGCCAGTGCAGCGGCAGTGGTCACGGTCCGAGTGTAGCATGGTTGTTGAAGTCCATGTTGATGGGGGGCCTGCGACAAGAGACAGGGGAGCAGTCGTGACAGCACAAGAGCGGCGAGATGAGAAGAGATGCATGATGATGTGCGCCCTGCACAAGGATGGGTCATGGACAACGAGAGAAGCATGTTCGCACACACGAACGCACACTGAACCGCAACGAACACACAAGTAAACACAACACACGTGCAACAGAGAGCGTTGGCTTCAGAGTAACTATGACTAATAAAGACGATGTCTCATCACGAGAAAAGTGACCGGTGCGCAGCACACCAAAACGGCGGCAATACACGCGTGGTCGATTCTCAGAGTACAAATGAAGTGAATACATCATCGCCAACAAACAAACAGAAAGAAACACAAGACGAAAGACAAGAGACGATGATGATGATGATGATGATGATGATGATGATGATGATGGCGGCACTGGTGCACACGGAGCGTACCTTGCTGATGTGATATCTATCGGGAGGAGAAATGAATAAGGAGAGAAGCACATGCACAGAAGCGAGGAGCACAAGCACACGCCACGTGGGTCTATATTTTTGCATGTCGCATGTCGCATGTAGATTGTTCTGGCATATCTCCCGAAAAATATCACGGATAACGGCGAACGTTCGCAGATTCTGTTATGACTTCATATGATTTTCCACATGGATTCGATTTTTGTGTGGCGTTGCCACGATATTTCTCCCACCACCGCCAGACCACGCCTGAACCGCTCGCCTCAGCGCTTGGTTGTGCCTTTTTTTCGCCTGGTCTTCCTCCAACTCTCTTCCGTGCGCTTTTTCGCCAGCCGTCTTCGCTTCGCTTTCGCTTTGCGCTTGCTTGCTTCTTGTTGCTTCTTGTTGCCTCCGTTTCTTCGCCGCCACCCATTCTCCCTCGGCCGTTGTTCATATTTTTCTTGTTGGATAGCATCAACGAGAACAGCCGCGCAAAAAGGCAAAACAGCGCCACCAACCACAGCTCCCCACGTCTGTCACCCAAATCAAGACATCACTGCTCACCCTCCTGCACCCCGCCATCGCCAACACTCCAAAACACTCCAATCAGCCAAGCAACCAACCATGTCTCGCAACCCTCAACGCACCTTGAACGCCTTCGTCTACATTGACGAGACCACCGGCAACGATGAGAACAGCGGCGATCACCCCTCCGTCGCAGGTACGCTTTCTTTGTGTGCGTGTGCGTGTGTGTGTGTGTGTGCAACGGTCAACATGCAAATGTTTGTGTCGAAATAGTAACGGCATTGCCTGTGTGGGTGTGAGGCGTGAGGTGTGAGGAAGCGCGTGTGAAGTAACACACACACATGTAGATATATGCACGCTTTTCTGGTCTCACGTGGCCCTTCTGTGCGTGTCTTATGCTTCTGACATGTTCAATGTCTTTTTGTTCCTTCCCCCCCCCGCTTCTGTTGTCAGTTCGCACGATGGAACGCGCTCGCCAGATTGCTGGCGCCAGCGGCAAGTGCCGGGGCATCAAGAAGCTCAACGACAGCGCTTACCAGCAGCAGCTGCTCGCCCACACGGACATGCCCCTTCCCTGTGGTGACACGGAGTGTCGCCCCTGTCTCCGTGCTGCAAGTACGTGCTTCTGTGTGTGTATGTGGGTAGGTGTGGGTGGGTGGCTGTGGCTGTTCAGAGAGAGTGTGTGTGGTGTGCACCGTTGTAGCTGTGCTTGCTTCGCGTCCTGGTCTGCGTTGGGCGCTCCATCCCTCTTCGAATGATGTATGTGTATGGCCAAGATGTGCAATCGTTTTCCCAAGCTACAAAGCTCATTTCATGATGTCGCTCCGTTGCATGTGCACCATGTGCAGGCATTGCCAAGTGCTTCTCGTGCGGCAAGCGCACGTGGCAGCAAGCCATGAAGGCCGGCCTCTGCCGCGACTGCACCAAGAACAACCCATCGGCTGCTTCCCACAGCCGCATGGCTGGTGGAAGCCATGCCCAAGCCCGCTACAACGCCAACCGCCGCATCCGCCGTCTCCTCAGCGACGTACGTCATTGCCCGTGTGCCACGTGTCATTGGAGCCCTGCGCCTGCCCCTTATTGCGTAGTCGCGCGCCCGTCCTCTGCCTATCTCCTCCTTCTCCCCTCCTGCTGCTGCATCCCTCCCTCACCAATTCTTTCCTCTTCCTTTCTTCCTTTCTTCCTTTATTCCATCTTAACGCCTGTTGCAGATTCGTCGCGAGTGCGAGGTGAACGACTACCAGGCCTTTATTGGCTTGCGCCTCGGCAACCAGGTGCACACCTTTGCCTTCAACTGCTGCGTCCCCACGGCCCATGGCCAGGCCATCGCCTTCCACTGCGAGGACGGCACCGTGCTCCCCCAAGGTGAGAGCCAATCAATCGCATCCATCCGTTGAGTCAGCCGCACCCAGCAACTTGCACGTCTGCTGCTTGTTCCACTTTGCACACCGCTCTTCTTGTTTGTTTGTTTGTTTGTTTGTTCCTCCGCCCAAGCATTGTGTCGTCCTGCGCTCAATCAAGCTCACCACGTGTGCGATGACACTTCACCGCCCACCCTGTTGCTGTGTGTGTGTGTGTGCGCGCGCGCGTGTGCGTGTGTGTGTCAGACCTCGATGTGACGAACGACAAGAGCATCACGGACTCGATTGAGAAGACGGGCACGAAGGAGGCTGTGACGTGGCACCGCGTGCGCCAGTCGCTGGTGCAGTGGCACAAGAGCTTCAAGACGGACCGTCAGATCAAGGACCGCATCAACAAGGCCAAGAAGAACCTCAAGCTGTGCCAGAAGTGCATCTTCACCGTCCCCAACGAGCCCCTTGAGCCGCACGCGTCCCTCTCTGAGCCGCTCGCCTCGCAGGTTGGCACGCACGACCAGCCCATCAGCGCCGCCACCACGGACGGCTCCCACGGCCCGCCGGAGCAGCAGTACGTCGGTGTTGTTGTTGACGACCAGGACCGCGCCCAGCACCCGCACGCCCACCCACACCCGCACCCGCACCAGCACCCGCACCACCCCGTGCCCGTGTCCATGCCGCAGCACCTTCCTGCGATGAAGGCCATGGGCCACCCAATGCCGGACGAGAACCCGGCCAAGGCCGCCAAGATGATGAACATGGTCACCATGCCCAACCTGCACCAGGGCATCCCGCAGCCCATCCACATGCAGCAGATGCCCGGCATGCACCACATGCCGCCCATGTCCATGGCCCACCTCCAGCACCCGCAGCCGCACCAGCAGGGCCACCACCCGCAGCACCCGCAGCACCCGCCGCCACAGCACCCACAGCAGGGGCAGGGCCAGCCGCAGCAGGGCCAGCAGCAGGGCCAGCAAGGGCAGCAGGGCCAGTTCCAGGGGCACCCGCACATGCAGATGCCGCACCACCACCAGCAGCACCCACAGCACCAGCAGATGCAGCAGCAGCACCAGCAGCAAATGCACCAGCAACAGATGCAGCAGCACCAGCAGCACCAGTACGCCATGGTCCACAACCCGCCCGTCAGCAGCGCACACCAGCAGATGCAGCAGCCGCAGCAACAGCAGCCACAACAGCAACCTCAGCAGCAACAAGAGCAACAGCAGCAGCAGCCGCAGCCACAACAGCAGCAGTAACATGGCTGTTCCACACTGGAAGGCACCGCCTCTCCCCATACCCGTGTATGGGCAATTCTTCTCAAGTTGTGCGCTTTTCGCACGCCCGGTGCCGTGTTGTGGTTGATGTGATGTGATGTGATGTGACATGACGCAACTCGATTGTGTTGATTGTGTCGGTTGTGTAACCGCATCCCTTTGTGTTGTGTTGTGTGTGCGTGCGTGCGTGCGTGCGTGCGCACGCGTTCCCCTCTCTTGTGTCAGTGTTGTGTGTCCGTGAATTCAATTTTTGCGTCATAGCCCATCTTTGTTTCTCTTGTCGGTATCGAAGCCCTGCTTGTGAAAGCAGCGTCTGTTTGCTGTGATTTTTGTAATGTAACGCCGTTTTCAATGGTCCCATTGCTACTGCCCCTTGTGTTTTCCTCGCAGCCGTCCTTGTGTCTCTGCACATGTGCGCGACAAGGGAGGCAATCATTCATGCCCGCTCTTTTGTTTCATTTTTCTTTCTTCCTTCTTCTTTCTTCCCCCCCCCCCCCTCCGCTGATTTGCGCAAGTACGCGCGAGTTCTTTGCCTGGCTGGTCGTGCACCCCGGGTCTGTTTTACTCTTTTGGCGTGTGCTACTGTTTCCTTTCCAACGGTGTGTTGTTGGGTTTGTGTTTTTGCTTGATTGCTTCTTATTGACGCTGCAAAGTGACTTGTTTCTTTCTTGCCCCTTTATGTTTGTTTCGCTTTGTTTGTTCGTTTGCGGTTTCAATAAACCCTTCAGTTGTTTCAAGAGCAAGCACAACAACCAAAGGGGGGGGGGGGCAGCAAAGCAGGGCAACGGCCGGAGGGGGCGGGGAAGAAGACGACGATTGCGTGTTGTGGAATGTAAAATGTAACAACTGCCAATTCGTTGCTGACCTACACAGTGAAGACACATGCAGACAAGGGGCACACAGACACACACACACAGACAGACAGACAGACACACACACACACACACACACACACACACACACACGCTATGCAGTCATCTTGTCTGTGAACTGGAACTGCTGTGCCGCCGAGCCGTCACAGGGCTCCAGCGTCATGGCAGAGGCCGTCCCAGAGAGACACTTGCCGCCAAATTTGAGTGTGCGCGCAGCGTGGTCGTACTCCCACTTTCGGCTGTTTGGTCCACACGTGCTCAGCATCACGCGCTTGTTGTCGTGTGACGTCAGGCACAGGTCCCACACGTGCCGCACCTCCTTGTACACTGTCAGCCAAAACGCCTGATTTGGTGCGTGTGTGTGTGTGTGTGTGTGTGTGTGTGTGTGTGTGTGTGTGTGTGTGTGTGTGTGTGTGTGTGTGTGTGTGTGTGCGGGCACGCGTGCGAGTATGAGTGTGACAAGAGAGTATGCGCTTGCGCTGTTGCGACAACAACACCTGCGCACTGCATTCATTCACATCCCGTCTTCGCCCCTCAACTTAAGTTCCCTCCTCTCCGCGTAATCTCTGCGCACCTGGCTGGTGGAATGAACGCCCGGGGTGTGGCACGGGTACGCCAGCGAGCCAGCGCCTTTGTCCATGCAGATGTTGAGCGAATTGCGAACCTGACCCTTATGCAGCACCACATCCTGTGCAATCGTGAACAAGTGTGAATGTGTGCGAGAGTGTGTGCGAGTGCGTGTGTGAGTGTGTGCGAGTGCGTGTGTGAGTGTGTGTGTGGACGCACATGCTTCAGTTAAATTTATTTGAACATGCTGAAGGCATGCACTGCAGTCCCTCTGAGACCCAAGATACACCTACACATGCAGACACAGGTCATTCAAATACCAACATGCGCTTCTTACGCTGTTTGGAATGAGCTTGCCGGGCACAACGTTGTCAAGGTACCACTTGAAGGACTTGCAGCCTGCAACAGATGGCGAAATACATGGTGGATGTGAGCAAAAGTCAGTGCTGCGTGCGTGCCTGTGTGTGTGTGTGTGTGTGTGTGTGTGTGTGTGTGTGTGTGTGTGTGTGTGTGTGTGTGTGTGTGTGTGTGTGTGTCGAGGTTATCGTCTGCATCGCAGCCGTGTTGTACAAACAACACCCACGCAAGACCATCATGATGACGCGCACCAAGCTTTTCACGCAGAGCCTTGCGTTCGCTCACGTCTCCAAAGTCAACCTGGCGCAAATATGTGTGTGTGTATGTGTATATGTGTGTGTGCGAGAGAGACAGAGAGGGGGGAGAAAGAGAGAGCGAGAGAGGTGAGGTGAGAGGATGATTGGTGGTGCTGGGGCGAGCACTGAGCGCAGCGGCAGCACGGCAGGAACCGGGCAGGGGCGTATTGACAACAGGAAATGCAAGGTGAAGCAGAATGAAACACACACACACATGCATTTGAACAACCACACACTCGTAAGCACAAATGGGAGGAACGAGTACCGAGCGCGCGGAGGGCTTGATATCGTAGAAAATGTCTTTGTATTCGTCCATCCACACTTCGGCAAGGCGGATGGAATTCTTCAGAAACGTCTCGTTCACCGTGCTAATGGTGCATCACATCACACACAGAGGCACACATACACACACATACACACACATACACACGCACGCATACACATTGCTCATGGAAGCGTGAGTCCGGCAGGTTAAATTCACCCATCAATACGCACGACACGTCGCGCTGCTGAAGTGCACTTCAAATGTCGCGCCTATCATGAGCGCGTGTCCATATGCACACACACACACACACACACACACACACACACACACACACACACACACACACCTGTTTGGGATGGCGTATGGGTGCCAGTCTCTGAAGATGTGGCCGACGCGGGAGCAGGGGATGATGTGGAGACTCCCGCCGCACTGCCAGATGCGGAACGACATCTCAAGGTTTTCTCCACCCCACCTGCACAAACACATACGCGCGCGCACACACACACACATGAACAGCGCAGTCCACAAACACATACACATAGCATACACACGCACGCACGCACACCACGCAGTCCACACAGAACAATTCAGACACACGTGAGTGTCGGTGGCTTGCATCTGTGACGTACATGCTCCAGAACAATCTCAAACGAGCGTGCATGCAAGCAACGAGCACCCTACCCGTCCATGCCCATATCGTAGGTGCCCAGCTCGTAGAAGTAGTCGCGGTTGATGCCAAACAGCCCGCCGGCCATCGTCGGTGACCTGAATGCATTGGCGAATGGATGGGACAGGGTGGTCGTTTGTTTGTGTTTGGTTGGTTGGTTGGTTGGTTGGTTGGTTGGTTGTTTGTTTGTTTGTTTGGTTGGTTGGTAGGTTGGTTGTTTGTTTGTTTGTTGGTTGGTTGTTTGTTTGTTTGGTTGGTTGTGTGTTTGGTTGGTTGATTGGTTGGTTGGTTGGTTTGTTTGTGTGTTTGGTTGGTTGCATTGGTGGATTGGTTAGGTGTGAAGGAGGAGCGATGGAGTGCGGATGAGCTTTGGGATGGTGATGGGTATGTATGCGTCTTGAGTGCACGCCCCCCCCCCCAACCAGCAGCAGCAACACATGGCAGCACCACACCAAGACACCCCCTCCACCCCTCCACCAAAGGACAACCGCAACAAGCGCAACGCACTTAATTGGGTCTGCTGGCGTCTCGCCGTGTTGCCTGACTGCGTATTCCCACGTGAAGTCGAGGGTCCAGTGAAACGTTCCGCGCGAGCTCGCACCACCACCGACATAATCCATCGTCTGCGCACTGGTGGGCAGCAGCAACGGCGGCCGCGTACATGGAGTTGTGGGTACAAGGGGCGTGCATGTGAGTGAGAGAGTAGGTAAGTGAGTGAGAGAGTAGGTAAGTGAGTGAGTGAGTGTGTGAGTGAGTGTGTGAGTGAGTGAGTGAGTGAGTGAGTGAGTGAGTGAGTGTGTGAGTGAGTGTGTGAGTGAGTGAGTGAGTGAGTGAGTGTATGAGTGTATGAGTGTGTGTGTGAGTGAGTGAGTGAGTGAGTGTGTGAGCGAGTGAGTGAGTGAGTGAGTGAGTGAGTGTGTGTGTGTGTGTGTGAAGGTGTGAACATGTGGCGTGGCATTGTTTGGAGGACAAATACGCGCCTGCATTGTAGAAGTGCGCATTGTTGTGTATGAGAGTGCACACCTGATACGGTCGATGGTTGGGCAGACGACACGTGTCTTGTCCTTGGCCATCCACGCCAGCAGGGGCTCCAGCCAGCCCAGGTTTGCCTCGCAGTGGCTGTCCAGGAACACCATATAGTCGGCAGTGGCGTGTTCGGCGCCCAGCACGCGCGCGCGGATGAGACCGAGCCGCTTCGGCGACCGCACCAGCTTCACCTGCAGGTGGGAAGCAGCCGGGTATGCATGCATGCGTGTGCGCATGTGTGGATGAGGGCAAGAGAGATTGTGTGTGTGTGTGTGTGTGCACGAATGAGCTGAGAAAAAGAGAGAGAGAGTGTGTGTGTGTGTGTCTGTGAGTGAGTGAGTGTGTGTGTGTCTGTGTGTGCACATTGCAGACCTTGTCTGGGAGGTTGTCGCGGACTTCAACTTCGAGCTTATCAAGCAAGTGCTCCTGGTCGCTGGCATCATCAACGAGGAGAATCTCCTTCAAGAGGTGCGGCGGTGTGCGGTCAAGGACAGACCACACTGTTCGCAGCAGCGTTGACCATGCCTACACGCGGAACAATCATGCGCGAACACAACGTTAATGTGGGCGTGTGAGTTGATGATACGTGCGTGAGCAAATCAGTGCACCGGTTCACAAGATGGACTGTACTGTACGTTGGTGACACTCGTCCTGAGCTTGCACCAGCAACAAGTACCACACACACACACATACACACATACACACACACACACACACGCACACACACCTCGTTGACGAAGCAAATGATGACGGTTGCCTGTGGAAGGTCCCTTGGATGCTCTTGTTGACGACAGAGAGGGTTGCGTGAGTCTGGAATATCGCGGTGGAGAGAGAGCTTGCTGCTTCGGTATTCGTTGAAGGCGTTCTTCTTCATGCTTTCCTCCTCCAATTTGCGCACCTGCTCTGGCGAGAGCTCCTTGTCATCGGGCCCGCCAGCGTCATTGCTGTTGCTGCCCTGTTTGGACTTGCCCAGCGCCTGCTGCAGCTTACCGGGCACGTCAGCGTCGCGCTTGCGATGGCGCTTCCGCTTTGCTGCGGCACCGTCAG